GTAAATAAGTCACAATGGAGGCTACAATGGAAACGTCCATCGACAACCACAGTTTGACAGACGAAATAGCGATATCAACAGTTGTGGATGTGGACCAAAATAACATAGCTTTTCCATACTATAGCAATACAAATGGACGATTGGTGGGTCAAACTGATCTGAGATTGCAATTTCGTAATGTTAACTACGAACTCAAAGAGCGTAAGTAATGTGAAAAGTAAATTATTTCAAAATTAATACAATTAAGATTAAACTAAACAGTTGTGTCTACGACCACAAATAGAAAAGTAATTGTTCAGTTGGAAACACTCTGATCTGATATATAAAATCATTTTAATATTTTTTTCATATATCAATACCTTTCTTATAGAACTAATTTTTTTATTTTTAAAAATAGGCATTTCTTTTCGTTATCATTTCTTCATTTCATTTAAATCTCTTTTCCCTATAGTGATTTCTTGGGATTTGTAAATAAGAATGATTTGTAAGTAACAGTGATAAAAGTCACTGAGAAGCAGATTTTGAAAATTTTCGCGCTCTTGCAAAAGTTTCAAGTGCAAAACGTTTAATTTGGCTATAGTAACCATCTCATGATTATGACTTTTGATGTATATTTTTTTAATTAATTTCTCTTTTCTTCACTTTAGCACAATTTTTTTAAGATTCTGTCCTCCAAATACAACAATAGTACTGTTGTATTTTTCACTGTTGTAATATGTCTAGATACTTAAGATACTATATTTTATTCGCATGTATTCCATTTCCTATATCTTGACTATTATATATATATAAATTTGGTATTTATATTTTTTTTTCAAAGAAATAACCGGAATATTTAGAAGTTAAGGTCATCATACATCATTGATATATTTTTGTTCCAATAAATATGAAATGTAAGTACTACCTTAATTACCAGAAAAGTCTGAAAAGTTGTTATCGGTACTAAAGCACCTATATATTTTCAATGTTGTTATAAAACACATCTCTCTCCATCATCCGTTCATGTTAAGAAGGTTTCGAGCTTTAATGGACGAACACTCACTAGACAAAAAAAAAAAATTAAATGACGAATAGTTTGAGAAGTTGCTGTCGTAACAAGATACTCATCTTCAGTTTACACTTGCATATTTATGTAGAACATTATGGTATATACATCTATACACGCATCTATATTTGACAAGTATATATATAGATATAGATGTTAAATATAGACAGGGTGTACCTTCATATATTTTAAATTAATATGCATAGGTAAACTGAAGGTTAGTACCTCGTTAACTTGTTTGTAGTTGTACAAACAGATATATCTGTCAAACTGATATATGTATATATATAAATATATATTTTATTATATTATATATATTATATTATTATATTATATATATAAATATAAAATATTTATATATTGTATATTATATATATAAATATTAATGTACAATTGCATTTTATCTAACAGAAGAATTAATTTCTGAATATTAGAATTAGTAAGTTTTTAGAATTCAGGTGTAGTATTTTACTAGCATTATTCGTTGGTGTTAAGCTACTTATTTATACAATAATCTTTAGGCGCTTCATGTTCAATTGCCATCGGGTGATTAACTTCTTAGAACAACTTTGGACGCCACCATTTTTAAATCGTATCATTAAAAGGATTTAAGAGCGTAATAGTTTATAGGAGCTCACCCTATAACAGAGGCATTATTTTGTCCTAAAATACAAATTTCGTTGACAATATCATACTCCCTGAGTCATTAAATACTCGTAAAATAAGTACATTATATGAACACAAAAAACTGCACTATCTGTCGTGTTAATTTTACTTTACTGATTACATTAAATTTAGATTAGTAACAATAAAAATTGTTAATAAAATATTTTTTGTAATTATGAAGGTTATTTCACATTAGAATACACAAATACATTGGTTATTTGAAAAAAACGTAAAATTATAATCACCTATGGATAATATTGGGTAGTTTATTTTAGATTAGAGCTAAGCTGCTCAAATACCTCTTATCTATTGGCACTGTCTTAATTTGTTTTTAAATTGAAATAAAAATATTTTACAAATCAATTATTTATTTTTCTATATCTTATTTGATATCTGATCAGTATAGTCTAATAATCTTCAGTTCGCCTGAGCTATTGACTGCAATTCAATGTAAATTTTAAATCCAAATATTCATAAATAACCTACAGTAGTCCTAAAATTTTGTTTAAATTAATGCAAAGTTATTCTTATCTCAAAATGGAATTTATTTAATCTCATTTGGCATGAGTCAAGATCATTGAACGTAGATATTTAAAAAAAATCAATGAAGTCACCAAACATTGTTCTGGAACTCTCTCTCTTAATTTGTGTACGTTTTCATAGTGTACCCTTTCTATTTAGACAATTTAAATAGAATAAATAATAAACTATTATTAAATAAATGTTTATAGTTTTATGCTTTCGTACTTTATAAAAATAGGTTACCCACAATTAAGTTATTTGCCTAATAAATTTTGTAGATCAAATTTTGATAGCAATATAAAAAAATGCGATTAGTTGTGTATGTATCATTTTACCTTATCTACATATTTTTAGAGAGGGCTCATCAGAAACAAAGCACTTATTATTTTATTTATATTTACTTTTCAAACTATGAAAACTGGATTATATAAAATCCTCTCACTACAAGGCTATTAGAGAAATGTATGGCGGCACTGAGTTTCTTGACTGAGATTCTTCTCATAGTCACAGTATGCATTTAAATAAAAATTATAAGAAAATAAGAACAAATAGTACAGTATAAGCCTAAAGCGACAGAATGTTGTTTATGTCGGAAAGACGATGAAACTTTTAGTTATATACCTTGCGACTATTGATCTGGATCGAGAGGAGAATACTGTGACGAAAATTCATAATCTCTTCTGATATTAGGAATACCTTAAAAAAGGACATTTTACTTGTATTCAAAAAGCTGAATACTCATTGTTCAGTTACATTTAGATATAGCAAAATAAATCTATGATCACAAAGCTTTGACATTCACCTAGTTCTTAGTCGAAAAATGAAATTCTTATAATATCACACATTGTAGATATCATCTTTTATAGAAGGTTTAATGTATCTCTGTATATCACTTACCAGTCATCAACTTCACTGATAAGCATCTCTTAAGACTACGTCCTAATAAAAGAATTAATAAGCCCTAATATGCAAATTTGTAATCCCTCGTTAGTCTTTTTGGAAATGAGATTTGTTATTAAAAAAATTATTAAAAATAATAATTAATGATTTAAGATTTTAAAACATTTCAATATAGTAAATCGGAACTTCAATATTAACAGTAAGCCTCTCGATTATTTATTTTTTTTAAAATATTATATAAAATATATATATATATCATAAATAAAATATGATATATAATTTCCTTTATTTCTGAACATTGGGAAAAGTAAAATTTACTTCAGCATGAATTTTTTAAATTCTATTCAATCTGAAATACCCATAGGTTAGATTAGGATATACTAGTAAATGCTAAGCGATCCACGTAGGTCTATTGGCCCATTGTGTTACCATGTACTGAAGAAACTTAGGAAATTCCCATAACTAGTGTCAAATTGAATTCTATTAAAAATTAAAATTAAGAATTAAATAAACATTTAATCTTTTTCTTTAATAACTATCAGGAAACTCAAAATTAGTTAAAATACTCAATGAACTATGTGGCGAATTTGTGTCGGGTCGCTTAACGGCTGTACTAGGTCCATCAGGTGCAGGAAAAACCTCCATGTTAAATGTGCTTTCAGGCTTTAAGTGAGTAATTTTTATTATATTCTCTATCCTATGAAATCAATTTTAATAGAGCAAAAGGTGTTACTGGACAATTTGAGCTTAATGGCAAAGAACGTAACTTACTGACCTTTCGTAAGCTTTGTTCCTACATTCCGCAAGAATTTGCTATGTTAGATCTGTTAACTGTTGAAGAGACTCTGAAAGTATCTGCAGATCTTAAGTTGTCAACAGATAAAAGTGCTAAAGAAAAACAAGAAATTGTAAGTTAAGAATAAATATTTTAATATTCTGCCTCATTCTATATTAACTTTTTTTTTAATAATTTGTACTACATACACTACAATATAGATTGATGACGTTCTGCAGATACTTAATATGGTAAAATGTCGTGATAATTTGGTGGGTACCTTATCAGGGGGTGAACGTAAACGGCTTTCAATAGGTGTAGAACTAATTACCAATCCACCTATAATGTTTTTTGATGAGCCAACTAGTGGTCTTGACAGCGTTGCCAGTTTACAGATTATTAATTATTTACGTCGGTTAGCATATGACGGACGAATTATTATTTGCATAGTACATCAACCCAGTTCACGCCTTATGAAGCTATTTGATGATGTTTTTGTATTGTCGCATGGAGAAATTCTTTATGGCGGACCTCAAAACGATATGTTAGCACATTTTGAAGAAAGTGGTTTCATATGTCCAAAGTACTTCAATCCAGCCGACTTCGGTGAGAAGAAATTTTCATATTTTTGTGATTATATTGTAAAACAATATCAAATTTTTATTTGCAGTCCTGGAAATAGGTAGTGTAGAACATAATACGAACATTTCAGCACTCATAGAGCGAAACAAACATAAATATAGCATAAAACATAAAGGATCGGCAGAAAGTCTGAAACACGATGAAAATTGTAAGTATACGTATATTATAGACAAAATTTTTTTAAAGATAAATAAACATTTAAGTTATTTTCAAAATTAAAATTGATTATCTGATTGATTATCTTACAGAGCAAATATTAATCTAAAATATAACTAAAACCTATTAAAAAGAGGCAACTACAAAAATAATTTTTAATTCGTTATACTTATGTTTTCAAATAAAGCTGTATTTTTTAAGCTAATTGAAAAAACTTAGAACTTAAGTATTGAAGGTTAATGAGTACTTGGTAATACTCTAAACAGTGTTGTATGATCAGGCAAATTTCAATAAATTAATCAAATTTTTGTTGCTGCTTCTTTATTACTATTCGAACCCTTCTAAAATCTCCAAGTTTCTGTTTACAGCTGAAATGTTACCAACGTCTACAATGAACACTCGCATTGCAATACAAGACAGCAACAAAACCAACAGTTTACCAGAACTCCAAATTAAATATTTTGAATTGCACAAAATTGTGAGACCCAAAGAGCAAGTCAGTGTATGTCGACAAATAGTGGTGTTAACACGTAGGTCACTACGTTCCATGTCAAGAAATATGGTAAGCTTTATAACATTTTTAATTTCAATTCAAACTCTTTCTATAACATCCAGTATAATTTAGATATCAGTTCAGTTGCGGGTTATAATGCACTTTGTTGTTGCAATTTTATTAGGCGTGGTCTTTTGGAATATTGGCAATGATGCTGCTAAAGCGATTACCAATTCTTCATCTATATTTTTTGTGGTTTTATTTCTTTTTTTTGGAAATGCTTTGCCATCCATAATATTATGTACGTTATATGTGAATTAAAATATATTTAAAAAAGTCAATGCATATATATCAAATATTTTAAAATAGGCCAACAGGAGACTGCAGTTTTTTTACGAGAATATCTGAATGGTTGGTACTCGGTTGAAGCTTATTACATATCGAAACTCATAGCAGATCTGCCATTGCAACTTTGCTGTCCATCAATCTTTATATTGATTATATATTATATGACTGGTCAGCCACTAGAAATGGATCGGTTTCTTATGTGTTTTGTTGTTAGTCTAATGATTAATATAATTGGTCATTTTTATGGATTGGTATTTGGTTGTTTATTCGATTTACAGGTAAATAACTTTTATTTATTTAATAAACAAAACATGCCTTTATATACTCATTTCAATACCTGCTTAAAGGTGTCAATATTCTTGGTGCCGTCTACAGCTATACCTTTGTTGCTATTTTCCGGATTTTTTATACGCATACATGAATTGGCTACATTTTTACGTCCTCTATGTGATTTTTCGGCATTCCGTTACACTTTAGAAGGTCTGATGTTAGCAATATATGGTTTCGATCGTCCAGAGTTGGATTGTCATATCGATTTCTGTTATTTTAAGTCGCCGAAGAAGTTTCTTAAGGAAATGTCTATGTTGGATGCAAATTATAGTTACGATTTGCTTGCACTTTTCTTATGGATTCTCTTCTTTAAGATATTATTCTACCTCAGTCTATTACTACGTATAAGAAGAACGCAATGACCATGACTTAAGTTTATTTACTTCATATACTAAATGTGGTCGTTTTTAAGTTTTAAGAAAATTTTTTTAAACATATTAAGAATTTAATATTTTTATACTTATGCTTTAACTAGTATTAAATAATCAAAAGCTGCTTCAGTTGCCATATAAACTAAATTTCTAAAATCAATTTCAGTGTCTTTAACAGCTGAAGAGGATAAAAGTGGTTCTATGGAAAATAAAAATTCTGATATTAAACATCTAATAGATAGTTTCACAAATAGAATATTTTTAAAATGTTTTGTAATATAAAAAATGTATATAAAAATGTAATATAACAATGTATAAATTCAAAATTACTAAATAAAGTTTTAAATATTATAATTTAAACGACTAAAAATCTTAATGGAACGCACAAACTATCATCTTCATTCCTCCTGCGAATATCAGTTGTGACAATTAAAAATTGAAAGAGATATATATTAGATAAACCTAAATATATTCTTTGAATATGAAATATCATACTTAATGCTTTCATTCAATATTTACCTGGTACTTGGGATCGAAAGGAAAATATCATTCGGGAGTCATTACTAATGCGCCTTGGTATAGCCGCAACAGTTACCTACATAAGGTAAGGTCTCTGCACATAAGCAACAACACCATTTTCATCCCTTCATCAGCATCATCCCTTCTTCATACAGAAGGACTAGTATGTCAGCTTAAACGAAGTAAGCTATTTGATTTGTTATCCTAATACATTAGTCATTATAAGTAACATATTTTATTATAAGTATTTAGATTAATGTCGACTACTATAAGTTGCCGCCATATGGCTAATTAGTTTAAGTAGAATAGGTGCAATTTCAATAAAATATAAAAAAAAATTTTAAAAAAATAAAAATAAACAAAAAAAAACACCACCATCTCCTACCTACATCCCAGCCTAGCCCATGTATAGAAATCCTTTTATTTTATTTGCTCTATAAAGATCTGCATAGAGCAGATTATGGCTGGTGTAGAACACCAACAATCGTTATTAGCAAAGCCAAGTCGTGAATATAAAAGTTTGACCGAAGTAATATTTCATAATGAAAAGACAGAGCGTGGAGTTTGGCCTCTCCTTTATAATATGATATATCGATCGCGAAAGCGTCAATTTTTGTATTTACAAGCAATTACGTCCAGTAATTGATACCAGATTCTTGATTTTATATCATAATTTTTTTGTCCGCAACTCTTATAAAGCATTTTATTATGTTATATTATTGTTGTTATGGTTTATATGTGGTTCCCACTGGCGCAATTATTGGCTACACCCATGCCGGTTGATCCTAAAATCAATTTTAGTAGGACTGTCGATCATGAAAATGATATACTAAGATATGTAGCTTGGTGACCGATGGTTTTTTTTAAAGGTACTGCATATCTGAGCAAGAAGTAATAGTAGAAAAAAAGCTAATCTAATTAAGTTTTCGGTCAAGAACATTATATTACCCATACCCTATAATTATCTGTGATAATCTTTTCATTATTTTCTTTCTAGAAAAAAAATTAATATAAAAAACTATATGAATCGAATATACTGACTAACTTACCTGAAGAAGTACGTTTCAAATTATAATGGAAACAACAATGATTTACTCAGTTTAGCCTAATAAATAACTTGTTGTGATCACCACAATAAACAGCCACGTCCAAGGTACGTTTTTCATTGATTCACACAGCATGTTGATCCATCCATCTAAAATCATATGGATCGCGTCACACTTTTTCGTACAATCTTTTATTTTTATCTACACGATCAAGTATACAATTGAGCTGTGACAGTTCTTGCTGCACAGCGGAGACGCCGTTCTTCCAGAGAGATATTGGGCGGTAGCCTGTTGAGAATCTTGTTGTGAGTCAACCTAGGTCTTGAAAAGGATACTACATCTGTGTGGAGGGCTATAAGTCCAGGTTTGTATTCGAGCTAACAGATGTTGACTCCATTACAATAAGTGTCGATATATCTTTTATGAGAAGAAACGAATCGACGGGTGTTGAACGGCACTTGGTCGTTGAGATCCGGGTCGTAGACTCTGCCGTTCTTGGAATCTTCAGTGAACTTAACTTTTGCGGCTGTCACTGTGGCAGCTTTAATTTTTTGCATGTAAACGTTTACTGTACAATAATTGTTGTTGTTATTCAAAGAATTTACAGAGCAGAAAACATGAAAGGGTTATTAAACGAATCAGATTAAAGGAAATAGGGGAGGGAAGAAGAAGAGTAATGTGGGATAATAGATGGATGAGGGTATATTTTTGGTCGTTAATGTTTTGTAACGCCAGGCAAAACTCTATCTCTACTTGTTCAAATGGTAAATACATTCCTAAATGAAAGTAAAAATTAAAATATTTTTTTTTATCAAAAAAATTGACAAATTGAATTTAAAACTGTTCATATATATTGGCATGTTTTGCTGCTCTATCTAGTTTTATTGACCAAAGAACTCCATGATTTATATTTTAATGCATTTATATATTATACATAGAAAATGTTGTATACTTACAATATTAATTAATAATATACAATATGTTACTTATAATATTCTAATATATTTAAATAACGTTATGCGCCCTTTTTTAGTTTTCAATAGACATTAACTTTTACTGCATATATTAAATTTATTTTAATAATAAAATTTGAAGTTTTATGATTTTTTTTATGTGACACGCTCAATTTTTATGAAAACACAATTGAACTTTGCATTTAAAAATTTAAATAATAGAAAATTTTTAACTAAATTAATTATTTCAACGAATTTTTAATTTCTAAGCTTTTTAACTAAAATTCTATATTATTTGTTGAAATTTCAACTTAATAAATTACAAATAATCCAAGTTATATACATAAGTATATGTGCACAATAACTTATATGTATACAGTGAAAATTGTTATTTACTTTATATATTAATTTATATGCTTTACATCGTTATTAATACTATTTTTAGTAGAACAACTTTTAGTGTGTATATTTTGTTGTGAATTTCGAATTGGGAACTAGAGGACCATCACTCAACTAACTTAATGATATTGTTTAAGCCAATAAAAAAATATCTAAATGAAATTCACATACCATTTTGTTTATGTGAAATGATTTTTAATATACCATTAAAAAGAATTTTATGAAATCAACCCATCTGAGTTTAAACCCATTAAAAGAAATAAAATTTGGTATTTAAAATATTGAAAAATCTTAACTTAAAACCACCCGCAAAATTTTTTGTGCCCTGACACATATTGCTGCTTTTTTGGAACATGTAGCAAGAAATTAATTCTTAATATTTTCACGATTTGATCTAAAAGTGTTTGTGTTCAACATAAACCAAAATACATTAAAGCTGTCAGATTAATTTGGATTGCCATACAGTATCCTAAAGTATACTTAATCAATTTCAATCGATGATATTTCCATGGCCTGTTCTTCATTTACATCGTCATCATCGTTTTCATCATCATTCACATCAGTGTCTTCTATGATATCATCAACTTCGTTGTCATCTTCATTTTCTTCATCGTCCGAATTATTCGATAATACTTCTTCAATAATAATAGGGCTAGAGTCTTCATCTAGAGGTGGTGAAACACTCAAGATGACTTCTGTTTCACTTAAACTTAATTCATCACTGCCGTTTGTTTCAGGATTGGGCGTGTCCGTTAATGTACCTCTTGTTTTATATGCAGATGATGATACCACATATTCTCCTGATTCAAGTCTATAAACACCCAGGGACATATCCATATCATCATCATCTGACGATGTATCTTCAATATTTATACTTTCTTCTGTATTCAGCGAAGTTGCAGCCGCACCGCCACTTGCTTTCTTTGCACGCTTATTTTCAATTGATTTAAGTAATGACTTTGCTTCTGCTTTCCGCTGCAGAAAGAAAAATAACAAAAATAAGAAAAACTAAAATAAATCATATTCTAGATTTTATTTACATCATCCGATTCAAGGCATTTGTATGCATAATGGGCTGCTCTATCGAAATCGTCTTTTGATTCATAATAATTTGCCAGCGTTATATACCCATGATATAAACATTGCCTGTCAGAAGCAGCACGCTCATCTTCACAATACATAATATAACACTGTACAGCTTCTTCATAATCTCCGCGTTTTTCATGTAAGTTTGCTAATTTGTACATAGCGATACCCTCAATATCTCCAACGTCACAAGCTTTCCAATAACATTTAACAGCATTATCGCCTTTATCGAGTTTTTCATATGTTTCACCCAAAGCAACAAGCATACGACTGTCATATGGACGCAATTGGTGTGCAATTTTGAAATAATACAAACTGTAATAGTGCATTTTTAGGATTTCGTAAGCCTGTCCCAAACCGTACCAGGCGCGATAATCTCGTTTGTTGACCTCTAATAACCAATACAATTGGTTTAACTTTTTATTATATAATAAATATTTTTCTATATTTACCAACAGCTTTTCGGTAGCTTTGAATAGCAGCATTAGTATTTTTTAGTTCCATAAATTCATGTCCCATCAGCGTCCATGCCGCTAAATACTTTGGATTCAGTTTTAGTGCGCGTTGAAAATAAACAATAGCCATCTGATGATCACATCGTATACTATAATAATTGCCTATAATAAATATTTGTTATTTAAATACTTTTTATGCTTTATTTAAGAGACACAAATAATTACCTATGACACAACACGTTTCCGGTCTGTATTTGTTGATTTCTACCGCCTTGTGTGCTAATTGCGCCATTTCAGTCTTTAGCTCTTTAACAAAAAGTAAATTCGAGTATGTGTCCATATTATCTAAACGATACGGATCCGCATCCTGTAGTGTTTTAAACACCTCAATCGCTTTATCCACATCTGTTAAATGAAACCAATATATAACAATTGACTTAACTAAATACAATTATGTACTAACCTCTTTTATTATGAAAGGCTAACGCAAGCTGTGATGTTATATAGACACACTTTTTAAAACCAACCGACTGTAAAACTTCATAAGCTTTTATACCTTCATCATTCAAATAAAGTTCTATATAAGTATGAGCCGTAAAGAAATGTCGCATCCAATGATTACCAAACTGTAATGTTTCCAATTTTTCTTTAATCGATATGAGCGGTGACAACTCCAAATATGCACCCCACAACATTGGAGCCAGTTGTATTGCTTGTACTAAAATCTGTATTGCTGCTTGATTAAGATTAAGTGCTTTCAATACAACACCATACAAATATAAACCGTAGCCATCGAGTCGACTTTGTGAATATTCTGCTCGTAATGTTGCTAAAAGATCTGCCAAATCTCTAGTATGACCGGAATCATTCAGATTTGATTGATCTGTTGTTGAATCAATGCGACGTTTTTCTCTTCCCATGTATGTCGCATATAAATGCAGGAATCGTGGTACCTCTGATTCGCAATCCCGTACGAAATATGCGGCACGATCATATTCTCTGACATCGAAGTAACTTTTTGCTAAAAAGTAGCTATCATATTCACTTGGTGCGATTCCATCTAATAATGCCATATCAAAATCTGAATTCTTTGAATCGATGTCTATATCGTTCAAGCCATAGGCCATTTCGGCAAGCCATTTGGCGCTTTGAATAAGACCGCGCTTTTGACATTCAATAATTCCTCGCCTCAGCTCTTGCTTAATTTCCTCCAAGGAAATATTGAAAAAATCATCCTCCATATTTTAGATACTTTAATATAAATAAACAACACAAATAAACTTGTTTCGTAGCCGCCACACGCCAATTACCAATTTTAAATTCGTTTGTATCCAAAATATATCAAAATTGCACAATTGCCTCACTGCAACAAAATCAGGGCTTACAACACATTTTAATCTAGTTTAATATAAGAAAACTGTGTTACCTGCTCCGAAATTTTTAATTCATAACAGAAACAATTTAATTTTAGTACGCAAAATTTTTCGTGTTATTTTACATCCACATTTTTACTTTTTGCAACACTTACATTAATTATTATAAATAAAATATCAAAATTTTAATATAAAAAACATTTTATCAATCATTTGAATTTTCTGTCAGAATTCTAATATATGTTTACACTACCGCAATTAACATGAAAAATAAACCAATTAGTGGTAAATTATGGCAATGCCTACATTATTTTTAAATATTTTTATTACCATCAAAATCAAAATAGATAATAAATAGTTAATAAAAATTATCTATGTAATAGATAATTAGAAGATTTTTATTTACATAAAAATTTTGATTTTACATGAACTTTAATAATTATTTTAACAGACTTCATATCCATATGGTATATTTTTTTTTTTTTAAAGAAATTAAATATTCTGCAGTTTTTTAATTTGTATAAATGTTTATATTAGGTCAGTTCGACTAGATACTCGTAGTAAAACTCAAATAAAACACAAATAAAGTACAAACTGGGAGCGTAACACAAATAAAGTGTCAAATTACACAGATTTTCAGTGAACAGCTTTGTGTGAAATCTGGTGAGAACACCAGTCCCGCGCATATAAACCATACAAAAATTTAAATTCAAACCAAAACTGCTGATTTACACATCAACACAAATTTTACTTGAAATAAAATGTACGAGTAAAGTCTGTGTAGCATTTGCAAATTTCAACAGAAATGTTATGCTCTTTCAGATACTCTCATTTACTTCAAAATTTGCTGGTGGAACGTACTTGTATATACACAGTGTTACTGAAAGTTACTACAAGTAGTTCATGGATCAGACCTATTGTTATAGCTGCTCCAAAAATAAAGAAACCATACCAATAAATATATATGTGAAAACTAAAACAAATTTTTTTTATTATAAAAAATTAGTCTAGTCTTTATACAACGAACGCATTATAAAAAGTAAGTAAACTTAAAACTTAACTGCACTTAATTAGTGTAGTAAAGTTATAGATATCTGAAATGTATTTCAATTCGGAAATAGAAACGAAGTCATATATATTGATTTGGTGTAAACAGAGTTTTTGAATATTTACACTTCACTAATTGCAACACATTTACCGAAATAATTATGAAAATACTTTAAATGCTATGGTGTAAACATATTGTAATTTTTAGTTCGATTATATAATAATATAAGTTCATAGTAATACGTAATACTAAAGTCTGTCCGTCCTTTAGTCAATATCAATATATATATATAAAATATATTGATGAGAGATCCAATTAATAATAAAATGCTGACAAGTTTTTTTATGTATTTTTATCTTTATGTATTTTTATTTATAATATTGTCCTAAATTAACAAATTCTGTTTTGTTGAACGTTAAAGGACAATATTTTTTTAAACCTCTTTTTTGTAATATTACTTAAAATATTTAAATTAATTAGAATGCATTCTTTTGAAATGATATTTCTTATATATTAATAATATTTGTTATTATGGCCGTGTGCGAGTTAAGGTAAAGTAAATTGAAATTTCCTAGGGATTTTTTATACTGCACTTACGTAAATATTGATTTATTTATTTATTGCACTTATATATTATTTTTGGTTAAAAGTTTTCAAATTTATTTATTAAAAATCTTATGAAATTTTTACAATGGCAACACCTAATTTACCTAATTTTTATCTAATTTACCCTAGTCGAAATTCTGGTAAATACCAACATTCGTTGCCATAACGATATTATTTACTGTTTCTGTTTCCCTCTATTTACTCGAACTCGCACAAGGTCTATATATTAAAAATATATTCCATAATCTCCAAAAAGTGTAGAAAAGCAGTGTAGAAATAAGTCGACGCTTTAATGTCGTATTTGTAGGTGTGGGCAACTCTTAATTTTGCCAAAAACAGCTGATATTTTTTTATTTGTGTTTGTATGCTGAGATTAATATAATTCATAAAATCTTCAATGTCATTATAAAACGGAAGAGAGCATAAAATAACAAAATATTTGTTGTATTAAAAACAAAACATACGATAAGGTCTGAAATGTGATATCAATTTATTTGATTTCTTTGTTTGACTATAGTTGTGTTGTTAATAAATATTGCTTTTGCGTACAAAATTGTGATAAAAATCAGCAATTGTAAGAGAAGCACAAAGCAAGGCAATTGACGACTGACCAATGCAGTTTATGCAGCTAAAAATAAATGCAGTGTTTATTTATTTGGAATATTGTATAGTTTTGCATTCCATCTGTTAATATTAAGAAATTGGAAATATTTATCGGATGCAGTGAACAGTGTGACGTTTTTAATATAATTGTTTACAACTAGCCACAGTTACGCTAAACTATTAGTAACGACTAAGATTTGAATATTGTTTAATTTTTCAAGTTGAAAATAATTTGACTAAAATGAACAAATATTGCGTTCTTTTGGTATTACTATGTATTTTTGGAAATCGTCACTCTTATGAAGTATATGCTTTCCACAGTCAAGTACGTTTATCTCCAATTATTTTCGGTAAGTTATATAAATATTAGTTCGCAATAAGCAATAATACGAAATAAATAAAGTATATAGCTAGTTATTAAGATTTTAGTTAGAAAAGTGGTTTGATATTGAATAAATTTAGGTTTACCATTATGAATAAATATTTATAGTAATAAGATTGTTGTCATATAGAGCAGGGCTTTCCAGATTAAAAAAGACCGCGGGCCAATTCAAATGACTGAATAGGTTGGAGGGTAAAATGAAAATAGGGCGATAATATTAAATTTAGTTTTATTAATTCTTTATTATTTTATCTTTTACAATTCTATGACTATCAACATTATTAATATTAGTTGTTGTCATACGAAAAATATCTTATTTCTAATGTAGTTATTACAAGGCACTGAATACGAGTTTTTTGAACCAGTTCTACAAAGAAATATATACTAAAGTCTTCATCGATTAAGTAAATTAACGTGAATTGTAATAAATTATTTATAATATGTTAATTCATTTATTTGGGATACCATAGGAATAAAATGGTGTAATGTTACTAAAATATAACAAAGAAAAATTTGCTTAATTGTGGTAGATTAGAAAGATATAGCGGTCAGTACAAATATTAGCCGAAGACCGCATGATGCCCGTGAGCCGTGCTTTAGACAGCACTGATATAGAGAAAAGCAGTAGCTTCTCGAAATCAGGGCTGCACAACAACAAAGATCTTAACAGTTGTCCGCCTAAAATTTCAGTAGTTGAAAAACGTCGCTTACGTGTACTAAGAACTGTTTTACCCCAATTAAAGTGTGTTCATAGCCATATTTTAAACAATTATTTATTAAACATAAATGAATTGTTATTGTTCCAACCTGCAAGGATATGCTTGTGTAGTTAGTCTCTTTTGGGTGTGGTGAACGGCACTTGCTCGTCAAACTCGACGAGTGTGTCCGGAACGTAAACTGAGCCGTTAATGTTCACTGTGACTTTAACTATCGTTTTATTTGTTATGATTTGGTCTTCATCTATTTTCATGTTCCAGTGCACACATTAGTTTCAGTTCATTTATAGCAGCATTTATATAAATAAATAAAAAAACAAAATTACGTAAAGTTTGAATTTATAAATATTTTCTAAATTTTGGACAATACAAAAGTATTTAAATGGTATTTGAATGAATAAATAATAATTTTTTGTTTATAAATTCTGATGTATACTTTTTTTTTGGAATTAAAGCATATATTATTAATAATATTGCTGATTTAACTTGATAGGATTAAAGGTAACAATATTTTCAAAAATGATAAATAATAGTTATATATTTCTTCGTTAGTTATTTATTTGGTACGTCTTTTAATAATAAATATATATACAATTATATAACTTATTCTAATAAAACGTAGGACATGCTCAGTGTTTTAAATCTCATTATGTTGAGAGCTGTACTACAAAGAATATATCATTAAATACGTATCTTATGATTGCAATTTGCATATAAATTAGTAGATTTGCCTCATCTTCTGTGCCACATTTTTAAAACCATATCGTTTTAGCTTATATTTGACATAATTCTCACTCGTTTTCTCCAATTATTGGTACCCATATGCCTAATAGAGTTAGCAGATTTCTTAAACAGTGGGTTGTTGTTGTAGTCCCCCGGGATCTGAAAAGCAGATAACATGTAGGGATGAGCGGAGTTAGAATTAAGGGTAATGGAAAGGGGAAGGGAAAGGGAAGGAAGGATATAATTGAAATCAACCAGGGTCCAGCTATAGAAACCTAGCTACCTCAAGGGGTGAAGTTCAAAGGTCGATTTGACTAAGATTGGGACAAAAGAACAGATGGGCGACGTCATGGGGGTTAGAACTACAGTTTGGGCACACATCTGGAATGGACGTGTTTATGCTTGACAAGTAACTGTTTAGCACATGGTTTAGGTTTCAAGAACGGTCGGGTTTTATGCAACCACATGTCATTCAACATCCCCCAAAGCAGTCACACAAGCAGACACTTACAGTTTAGGATCTAACAAATAAACATTTTTTCGTAGAAAATTAGCAAATTTACTCTTTTTTTTATAAAACATAAATGAAATAGTCACAAAAGAGATTGTACAATAAACGTCCGTATGCCAAATAGAGTTACCAGTTTTCTTAAGCAGTGGGTGTTAACTTACTCTAGCACTTACAGTTTAGAATCTGACAAATAAACATTTTTTCGGAGAAGAACGGCAGAGTTATATTCATTTTTTCATTAAACATGACCGAAATAGTCATAAAAGAGACTGTATAATATAAATAATTTAACTAATGATAATACATATATATGTCTTACTACATTAGGTTTTCAACTAGAGTTAATAGATTTTCAGAAATGATAAATATATGTATTTCTAACTTTAGTCTATTGACCCCTCCAAAAGTAATTAAAACCGCTATTAACATAGAATACCTGCAAATGATAGATTTTATATAGCACAGTTTTGCAACACTTAAGACTAATAGCTCATTATGGCTTGTATACAAACTTATCCTAATATAATAGTTGATAAGCAAAAATAAAAGCAATGTTTTTAGATTGATGACAGTCATCATTGACTTAATATTAACTTTAATATCTGCAACCAGCTAAAAGATCCAACAAACCAACAAGGTTTGAAACTTTCAACAAGGTTGAAAGCAACAATATCATGCAGTAGCGTTAATTAGAATCATGATTCGAGTCACCACTTGACTCAAACCATATTATTTAAAAAAAATTATGCTTATCAAAAAAACATTATTCATTTTATAGTATTATCACAACTTTTTTCTATTCAATTAGAAATTGAATAATAGACAAATTTAACTCACAAACCAAAATGTTGAATATTTTAATACCTCAAAATAGATTACTGTCTTATAATATTTTTTTACTGTTGACTGTTTAAATAATTTATGCATAACACTCTATTTTTTTCCCCCAACTCTATAATAATTTTTTTCATATCGGTTGGATGAAATAATATTCTGTATATTCTGTATATAATATCAAGTCATGCAAATAAGCATTTATGATTCATTTAATTTTCATTTTTGTGATAACAATTCTATGAATTATTTTCATTATTTAAATACGTATAAATATTAAAAATGTATATATAACAATATTATGATATATATATATACGTATATTTTATATGTTATTGATATTACATTTCTTGGAAATGAGTAGTGATAGTTTCAGGGCCTGCATTGTACACACATATTGTCGTCAATAATTTACAGACACATAAATAATTTATTTTAATTTGCAATGTTTAAACTAAAATGATCTTCAATTTCTTATTTTTAACTAAAAGCGAAGACATCAGCCTTGCTTAAGGTATTAAAAACTATAGTGTTTTAAACTACTTATAATAACTTTTGTTATATCTTCTTTTTGTTGCGACTTTTCCCTGGGTCTTTAGCAATACTAGTTAGAGACATGATGGATAGAGTAGTTGCGGTAGTAGTAGAACGAGTAAATTCTACGTTCTTGAGAGATTTATTCTTTCAGATTATTTATGAGGTCACAATAACAAGAACATGAAGTTGTAACCCTGCTATTGGATACATATGCGACAGTGTAACCGTGTTGCTAGTTGCTACTTCTACAATTCTCTGCATGATTATTTTTCTGCTAACCATAGAAATTATAAAGATATTAATATTATATTTCAATAATAGATATTCGATTTGAACAGTTTCCTAAAAGTTTTTAACTCAATATTTCAATAGTTCCAGGCGATGGAGGTACTCAATTAAGAGCAAAATTGAATAAGTCAAGTTCACCACATTATATTTGCCAAAAACAGTCAGATTGGTATAGTATATGGTTAAATCTAGACCAACTGATACCCGGAGCTATAGATTGTTGGGTCGATAACATTAAATTATATTATGATAATATAACACGTACCACGCATAACACACCAGGCGTTACTATAAGTATTCCCGAAAATGGCTGGGGTGATCCCGAAATTGTAGAATGGATTGATCCAACCCGTAATAAGAACGGTGCTTATTTTAAGGATATTGGTGATATGCTTGTAAAAGAATTTAATTATGTACGTTTGAAAAATTTACACGGTGCACCATATGATTTTCGAAAAGCACCAAGTAAGTAATAATTAATATTATTATCTGTATATTATTATACAGAGAATATAGTATATTATCTAAATTAATAACTATTTTAATTACAGATGAGCAGAAACAATTTTTTATTGATTTAAAACAACTTGTTGAAACCAGTTACGAGCGCAATGATAGAACTCCAGTTACTTTTATATCACATAGTATGGGTAGCCCTATGACATTAGTTTTTCTACAACAACAAACATACGCATGGAAGAAAAAGTATGTGAAACGTATCATTAGTCTTGCTGGAGCCTGGGCAGGCAGTATAAAAGCTGTTAAAGTTTTCGCCATGGGTATGTATACTTAAAGTTTCAATAGAACATTTAGTTCTATTTTTAATATAATTTTTTTTTTGTGCAGGTGACGATTTAGATGCGCTTCTTTTAAGTGCAGATAAATTAAAAGCTGAACAAATATCATGTCCATCCACTGCTTGGTTATTGCCATCTCCGTACTTTTGGAAAACCAATGAGGTCATTATACACGCTCCTAATCGCGACTATACCATGTCTCAGTTATCAAATTTCTTTACTGATATTGATTATCAAATTGGCTGGGAAATGCGTAAAGATACATTAAAATATACACTAAATTTCAGTCCTCCAGATGTTGAATTGCACTGCTTATATGGAGATAATATGGATACTGTGGAAAAGTAAGCCAACCTTAAATGTTGCAAAAAAAAGCTTAACTATTGTGTAATAACTAAATAATTATTTACAGATTGCGTTATAAAAAGACTCCAATCGTGAATGAGAAGCCTGAACTTATATTTGGCAGAGGAGATGGTACTGTAAATAGGCGTTCACTAGAAGCTTGTCAGCATTGGATTGGATACCAAAATGAAAGTATAACATATATGTCCTATAGTCATGTAGATCATATGGGTATTTTAGCAAATGTAAATGTTTTAAAATACATTAAAAATGTAATATCTAAGGATTTGTAATAAGCTTTAAGACAATATCTACGATCAGGGACTGTAACAGTTATTAATTAAAAAAAATAAATAATAAGTTTAATCATTCGGCTTTTAAAATAAAACTCCAAAAATAATAGTTAAATTTTTTTATATAATATTTTTAACAAATAATTGTTATTATTTACTTTTCGACGCAGAAATAAATCCAAATTTCTGCTTTTTATTTTGAAACGAAAAAATAATTATTAATTTTGCATTAAAAACGAAGAACTCGAAGACAATTATTATTTTTTGTAGGTAAAATTTAACTCCTTATAAAAACCAAATATAAGTTGCAAGTAGGACGTTTTATTTTTAAGCAGAGCAAATTAAAATGCATTGTGTATTTAATAGCTGTTGCACTGATGTATTATATTTTTGTTATGTATTTATTTTATACTTAATAAGTATTGCAATTACAAATCCGAACTTGTATATATTATTGTTTTAAGATGTTATTTATTAATATATATTTTAATATATTTCTGTGCTATAACTCGCTTTTATCTTATAATTTTCTTAATAACTATTAGATATAGTTTATTTTATTGTTATAAATATTAATGAATTCTTACAAGTTAAAAAAAAAGTGGGATTGAGTTTGTAATTACAATAGTTATTAAATTGCCACCTGTACCAATCGTTGTACATACAACGTCCGGCTTGCAATTTATATTTGGTTGATTAAACAGAAGTTACAAGTTAAAATAATAACTATTTTTGAAATGCTCATTTTTAAGGCAATTATAATAATTATTTTCGCGTTTTAAAACAAAAAGCAGAATATGTGAGTTAATTGTGTAAAAGTAAAAGTCAAATAATAAAAACTATTTTTAAAAAATTTAATATAAAGTAAATTTTATTATTATTTTTGAAGTTTTTTTTAAAGGCGAATATATATAAAGCATATATAATATGAAATTCCTTAAATAGGAATTTAGATAACTTTTCACTGCTGCTTTTTTTCTTGGTAATTTTTAAATAAACTATTATTTTCGGTCTCTGTCTATGATACTGTTTTTATATTTAAAATTATCTCGTTTATCGTAAATTGATATAAAGTAAAGATATTTTAAATTAAATTTGTATGTTTTAAATCAGATTAGATTATAAGATTAAAACATGGTTTTGTGTAAAAGAAAAAAATTTGTGTTAGTAGTTTGTTTGAATGTATGCAGAGTCTTTTCCCTTTTTTGTAGTCTAACTTCTAAGTCAATATGGAAATAAATTTATTTAAATGTGATTAGATTACGATTTAAGTAAACTATAAGTTCAAATAAGATTTATTATTTTACAAAAACTGTGTTTTCTTTTCGTTGGTTTTTCAATAAGAGTTTATAAATAAAATATTATATGAACAATAAAATCAATATAAATATTATAATATATAATTATAAATCAAACGTTAGGTTGGTTAAACTTTCAATATTGATTAATTATTTTTGTAAAGAGGTTTTTCGAACAGTAGTGAACCACAACAACAAAAATTCTTTTTTATATTATTTTAATTAATTGAATCTTTGACTGAACATATAGCTGTTTCGAGTATTATCAAATACTAATTATCAGTGGTCTTGGAAATTATTCTTGTATTTAATTATTCGTAAATAATTTTTTGAAATTACAAGTACCAGGAATCGAACTCGTGCCCTCCCATATTTGAAGCTCAGAGTCTAAAATAATTAGATTCATTAATTTTTCAAAATTTCAAATATTTATTAACTATGTTTGGATATGAACTATGTATTTTAAGGTTTTTTTTAATGATTTTTATTATTATTTTTTCAAAATAAAAAGAACAAGTTAATAATCACACCAAGTTAATAATCACACTAAGTTAATAATCACACCAAGTTAATAATCACACTGCTCATAATTCTCACTGCAGAAGTTGTAGAAACCTGGAGGAAAAAGAAACCATAAAACATTTTCTTTGTGAATGCCCGGCTTTGGCGTCCAAAAGAAGTAGGTTTTTAGGAAAATACTTCTTTGACAGTTTATCAGACTGTTTATTGGTAAAGACGAAAGACCTATTTAATTATCTAAGTTCGATGGGATGGATTTGTCTGTACTGTCTTACCGCTCTCTACTCTAGTAGGTCTTCTTGCGAAGAATGTGGTAGCAAAACGGCAAAAAATCGCAATACTAATTAAGGAACATGGTAGTTGTGTAATGGCCTGTCACTGCAACCAACTAATCCGCCAAACTAGCGATATGTTTTCAAATGTACGCGTTTATCAGTAAATTATTTTTATATCAAATACTACTTAAAGGTTGGTTTAATAAAATTAATTATAAGCATAAAATCAATATAAATAAGTTTTTTAAAACAAACTGTATGTATTTGTGTATGACAGTGTTAGTAAGCATATAGATTTTTATAGATACACTACAAAAATCTGATAGTTTTCATCATCAGTAAATATTGTTGTTGTAGTCCGTAGGGTTCCCTCTTGAAAGTACCGCATGACACTTGATCGTCGAATTCGACGCGTGGCTCCGGGACGTAGGTCGTTCTTGGAACTTTGTGGATTTTTTTTTCTGGTTTCAGTTATGCTGTTATGCTGTATTAGTGAATCGTTTATGAAAATTATGTATAAAAATGGTTTCTTTTGGATAGTCATGCTTACTACCTCTTACAGAAAAGTTTCAAGATTTCATATCGAAGGCTTATGGGATGTGACTGGAAGATTCTAGAGTATGGTTTCGGCAAGAAGGCGTGCACTTTTTCAAGTAACACTTGATGATCAAACACCTTCAGTATGTTTAAAAAACTGCCTAGCATACTTTCCTTTATTTAATCTAAAAATAACATGGAAGTAATCAATGGTGATGGATCGATTTTCGGATCGATTACAAATACATCAGATGGCACGTGTGTTTGAAATTTAATGTAATAATGTAAAAATGTTAAAATTTAAGGCCCGATACCACATAACCAATCTATATTGTTTGTTTATTATCTTAATGGAATAAGTGGTTAAAAATAGCTGTCTGTACTTAAATCTGTTGTGAAATGAGTGGGCTCAAGAAATCAAAATCATATCGCAGTTTTGTAGTCGTGGACATTGCAAAACTTACTTAAAGATCAAATTTTTTCAAAAACAAAAAAAAAACTACATTTTTTTTTTTAAAATTAATATCAAATAAGATTTATAAAATAAAAAATGTATATAAAATAAAATAAAAATTTATAGAAACTCAAATTAGTACAAAAAAAAAAATTTACGTAAAAAAATTAATAAAAAAAAATTAATATAAAAAAAGTCATATAAAAAAATTAAAATCAAAAAATTCAATATAAAAAATTATTATAAAAAAATTCATATAAAAAAATTAATATAAAAAAATTATTATAAAAAAATTAATATAAAAAAAATGCAAAACCAATTTTGAAAAAAAAATGTATAATCTATAACTAATTTTTATTTATTTAAAAATTGTTTCGATTCTTTTCACCTACCGTAAAAACAAATATTTATTTAAAATAATTGTATCATTTATTTATAAAGTCGTTTTTTGTTTTTTTTTAAATTTTTAAAATTTTAATTTTTAAAAATAAAACTTATGAAATAAAAGTTAAAATATTAAAAATAAAAACCGACTTTAAAATAATTTCGACGTAACGACTCAAAAAATTTAAAACAAAATTTATTTTTAATTTTATTATAATTGTTATATTTATTTAATAACACAATGGAAAGTTTTTAAGGGATATGAATAAAATTCAATTATATTTAACAAACATTTATAATTATTAATTACACATTTATAAAAATTTTAATACAAACTTTAATTTATAAAACTATATTAGTGAGATTTATGTACAGAAATTTTATATATTGGTTTGATTTTATTATATTTTTATTAAGATATATATATTACAAATTAAATGCAGCGAAAATTATTGTTTCAAATTTCTATTCAAATCTTTTTAATTTCTTGACAAGGCCAATTTTATTATTCATAAACACAAAGATATATATTTATTGTGAATTAAATGGAAAATATTTTAATTTTGGAAAGTCCCTTTTTATTATTACATATCAAATTTTTTTTATATATATTGAGAAAATAAAATAAAAGCAAGTATTTATTTAAAATTTTTGTTTCTGAATACAAAGTTTATTATTTTAAAATTTATTCCAAAATAAAAATTGGCTTATCAGTAAATTTAGTAAAAGAAGTAAGCCATTGCTAACACTTAGTAAAGTGCTAAGCTATTTTAGAAGCTATTGGTTTTCAATATTTGGCTCTTGATTTTAATGTTTCATTTTAGTTGTTTTTTTTTTAATTATTGAAACACTAAACAGAAACTCAAATTCGCAGTTAAAAAATAAACTAAAAATATTTAATTTTTAATTTTGTTAATAAAATTAAAATTTAGTTTAAATTTATTTACAGAAATTTTAGCAAAATTTTTTTTTAAAACAAAAAAATTTTTTTAAAATTGGAATTTTATAAAAATTTTAATAGTTATTTTTAAATAATTATTAAAATTTTAATATATATGTTTATATATAAAATCGATCATATTTTTAGCAATATTTTTTTTGTTTTGTACGTGAAGTTTTCAACCAGGTTTTGCCATTTTTTTAATCATTTTTTTTTTAGTTAATTGTATATATTTTTGTAATTAAAAATAAAAATATATTATATGCTTCGCATATAATAAATTTCTGTTTTATGGTATTCATGGAAATGAATGCTATAGGTATATATATATGCCAGATGCATATATGAAACTATAGACGTTAATGACGATACATTAATTTCGTATTTGATTTGTGGTATATGCAATTTTGTTTTTGGTTTTTGTTTTAGTTTTATCTTTAGTTTTTGTTGTTTTAGTTTTAGTTTTAGTTTGACTTTTCAATAATTTAAAACCTTTCAATATCACAGTCCTTTACAATTGCAAATTCTTTTGAAAGCAAAAGGATTCACATAATTTCAGTATTTGAAACTCAAAAATTGTTTACAAATGAAATTTCGAACTGTAGGCTATTGTATTTTTTTATATATTATATATATTGTTCAAAGAATATAGATTTTTACAAAATATTAAAATTTATTCTAAATCCATAAAAATTTTTTTTTAATAATAACTCAAATGCAAAGCAGCAAATATAGGAATGTTTTAAAATTTTATTGAAAATATTTAATGTTTTCCATAAAAACAAAAATATTTTCTTTATTGCAAAGTAATTGTTATATATAATGTCAGAAAGTATTTTTTAAATATTAAAGCATACTACATATATATAACATATATATGTAAATGATTATATATATATTTATATATATTGAATTTTGTGTATAATTTTTTACCGGACAGACATCGAAATTTCATTTTTATACAAAATTTGATATTTTTTCTCTAACTTTTACAATTTTTATCTCATTTTAACGTTTTTTCTTTAAGTTACACTTAAAATATAGCAAAAAAAAATTTTTTTTAATATAAGTATTAATTAAACAATTTTTATACATATATATATGGTATATATGGTAAGTAGTGAAAGTAAATAAGTAGTTCTAAAAATGTTTGAAATGACTCTAACTTTCAAAAGCTCAAATTGCCTCTGTAGCTCAAAAAAAGTTTAATGTATACAAAATAATTTCTTTATTTCTTTAATTTTTAAAAATAAATTTTTTAAATGAACTTTAAGTTATAAATTAAAAGATTTTGAAGAGTTCAGTGTCTCACACTGTTTGTGATATATGTTCTTTTCGACAGAGTATTTAGGTCTTAAGTGTAAGTAGGACTCACAATTATTAGAATTATGTTACTCATACAGAACTCATCTTCGAAATCAGTATCTATGTTTCCACCATAACATCTTTTAATACTTTCACGTTATCATATCATTTACAAAGACTTATCAAAGATATATTAAAGATTTATCAAAGATATGTCAAAGATATATCAAAAATTTATCAAAGATATATTAAAGATTTATCAAAGATATGTCAAAGATATATCAAAAATTCATCAAAGATATTTTAAAGATTTATCAAAGATATGTCAAAGATACATCAAAAATTCTTTAAAGATATATTAAAGATATATCTTATTAAGTTTAACAATTCTGTGTTTTAGTTTTGATAACCAAGATCGTTAGTTCATTCATTATTATTGAAATTAATTAATATTTAAAATTTTTTTCGTATGAATTATAATTAATTATTGCATAAATTTCTTCTACATTAATGACAATAATCTTATTTTTGAGCTATAATTCATAAAGTAATATATATATATACATGTATATGTTTATATATAAATATATACATATTTAAAAAATATGTAATATTAGTCAATAATAATGAGCAATATTTTAATCTTAAGAATCTACATTTTGAGCTATAAATTTAAACACCAATATATATATATATAAAAGGACATACATAAATTTTTCAAAAAAAAAATTTACAATTACAACTACAATTTGGTATTTACCAAATATATATATGTATATTTTTACAAAACACTTGTATATAATAGATATTATTTAACCAATTATTTTTCCTTACACTTATTGTTTTCTTGTACTTAAAGTTAATTGTCCTACAATTCTTATCTCAATTTTATTTGTATTAGTATTTAGCCATGATTAGCGCATTAATTAATTAGCCTCCCTTTCTACTCCAACCAATACAACTTGCACCAGGTGCATCATCGGCATCATCATCATTTTTAACATCTTTATTCTTCACCTTAGAGTCTTTATCAATGCGCCTCTCACTTAACTCCTCATCCTACCAATCAGTTTCTGGTATCGGTCATAGACTTGTTGTTGCAGCAAATCCTTGGCGTCGCTTCAGGACACGTGATTTGTGCAATTCACCTTTATGACATGGTATGACTGTTCCATGGTTTGCAGCTAATGTTTTACTGCTACTGCCGCCCCCAATTAATGTACCCAACATCTTGGTCACTGAAAATTTCCTATGCGTTTTGTGTGGACGAGCACGTGAATCTAGTAAAAGTATCTCAAAGGCTTTGCACAAATTCGGTGTATATTCTGCTACGGACACCTCACAGAAGCCAATTGAGTGTGTTGCTGCCAATGCAGCGCCTTCTTTTTCTTGCACCTAAAAATAGAAGATTATTTAACATTTTTTTTGCTTTTAATGTTTAAATTTAAAAAATTTTTATTTTTAGTTTTTGATTTCTTGTATAAAAATTAATAGAAAACAATTTTGATAATAAAAATTAAAAAAAATTAATTTATTCTAATAATAAGTGTGTCTAATCTCAGAGCAGTCACAACTCGTACGGGTCGATATGCAAGTGCACAGTTGCACTAACTCGGAAAAACCTCAACATAAGAGAGTGTGTCAAAAAGAAACTTAGATGATCAAAATTCAGTATTTTCTATACTAGTAGATATGTTAAAATGAAATTTTTTTTACATTTACTTCTTCGTCCTTAGTTCTACCTATATAACTTCCATCACACTCTATGTTTTATACCTATTTGAGGTCCTGGAAATTATTTAAAAATTGTCAAAATATGACCTTTAATAAATGACATCTATTTTAACAATAGTAGAAGAACCTATTTTTTTAAATAATGAATATTTTTTATGAACATTTTTTATGGAAGGAGGTTTTTACAGTAGACGAAATATCATAGAAGTTTTTGGACCTAAGTAATATAGTATAAGTACTTAGTACATTAAATATTAAAATATTTAAAAAAATATGAAAGTTGAACAAGTTAGGGTCCGAAATTGGTTGAGTTCCAGTTAACCAATTGTGTTGAAGATTTGATTTTAATATCTCTATTAGTTCAGTAAATACCGAATTTTGGTCGTGTAATTTTTATTTTGACCAAGGTAAAAATTTTTATCGCATGCGTCAAATCAGTATGCCCATATGGATCGGAAACCTGGTTTACTACCTCCGAAATCGAAAGAAGATCATTTATCAATCGAGGCCTGCGCAACATATTAGGCATATGGTGACTTAAAACGATTTCAAATGAAGAGCTATGGAGAATAACGCACGAAACAAATGTAAACAACGAGATAAGAAGAAAGAAGTATGGTTGGATTGGACACACACTGCATAAATCTTCTGAAAATATCGCGCATGCTGCACTTACTTGGAATCCCCAGGGGACTAAGCACACTGTGCGGTGACTGTATGTTTCTATTGTTGCTAATATTATATTTAGTTGTCAATGTTGTTTCTTGAGAATACTAATTTAATAAACTGTTTTTATATTTTCTATACTAGATAAAGTATATATAGCACTGTTAATAAAAAATACATGTTATCATCAAAATATATATATGTATTATTTTTATTAAATAACATATATCACTTAAAACATGTCACACAGTTATTGAAGCTTTAAGCTTGACTTCAAGAAACTCTACACTGGTTTTCGAAGACAGTCAATGTCTTAGAAAATCTTGCTACTAGGAAACAAGTGACTTTACGCTGGATACATGCACACAATGGTTTTGATGATAATGAAGTTGCAAACAGATTGGTTAAGAATTTACGATTATCCTAAATTGGAATAGTTGTTTTGAGGATACTATATGGGCGGAATAAATATTGGGTCTCAGTAAAAATCACTTAAAAAGCTTAGCTAAACTAGACTATATAAGTAAATATAAGTTTATTTCGTTAAACAAGAAACACAAATTGTCAAATGAAGAAGGATCACACTTCACCAAGTTTCTCTTCCTAATATAGTCTGAGGTAACAAAAAATAACTATTAAATCTAAATACCATAGATTAAATTTAAAATAATTGGAATGATAATTGGTTACTGCGTATTATATAACCATAAAGAGCGGTAAAAACTTCAAGAAACCAAAATGCTGAGAAAAACCGTAAATACCTATTGAATCTAAACAGTTTGAATGTAAAATAATTGGTAATGACAATTGTGCATTACTTTTTATATAAGCATAAAGTGGATAAAAACTATGAGAAATTTACGAAAATACATTATATATAGAAAACAGAAATACATCCTATCTCATATATTTTATAGCAGAAAAATTTTCCACAAAGAATTGATCTTCCCAACAGAGTGGTCATTTATCGATTCAGGTAAGATTAAGACTTTCTTGAATATAGCTGAATTGAAAAAAATCCAGAATGTTCAAATTTCGAGTCAGGTAAGATTAAGACTTCCTTGATTATAGCTGAAGTGCAAAAAATCCTTCACTGAGTATAGAAAATGCAAAATACAATAGCCCAACAATGGACACAGAGTCACAAACATGTAATGTACGGACCCGTCTGGATATAACAACTGAAATACTTTTATATTCAAACATGTTACTCTAATAAAGGCAGTTGGGCGATTAGGAAATCAGGGTAAGGATGGAATTATTCGCCGAGATACGCGGTAGTTACTAGAGTTTAAGTGAGCTTACTACTACCTTCCTTACTTTGAACTAGTATTTTGAGTATATATAATAATCGAAAATATAAACGGTTTGTTTTATTTTGTTTAGTATTAGATTAATTAAATTAGTATTAAACAAATTATTATTTTTTTTTTCACTACAAATATTTTAAAAACTATATACCAAACGATGTTTAGTTAACACTACAACTAGTTATAAGAAAACTAACAAGTAGTTAGCCTTTGACGCCATTATATATTTTTTTTAACGATTTTTAAAATCCTTATTTTAAGTGAAATAACAAATAATAAATAATGAAGTTATATTTATTATATTTTTTTTTTTATTATTTCATTATATGAAACGTCGTGTAAAATAAATAAATTAATATTTGATTTCTAGCCATTGCATTTAATTGTGAGAGGTTAATTATAAAAAAAAAATGAAATTTCATTTAATTAATTTATATATAGTATACATTATTTTATTTTAGAACTGCTGTGAGAATTGTTTGTAATATTTTGATGATTTTTCTTGACCCGACTTTTCGATGTATGCTCGAAAACTTTCAAAATTTTTCATTTAATAAATATTAGAGAACCGAAGTCGTTGAACTTTAATTCGATACAATAAACACTTGAGTTTTTATCTTAAAAAGTGTTTTCTACAAAAATTTCGTTATATATAACCAAATTATATTTGTTATAAATCGAAAAGAATTTTAATTGAAAGAATTTCATTGACGCCTGGCATTGAGTGTATCTTTTGGCGAAGAACAATTTACAATCTGACAAATGGCTGCCAATCTCATGGTGACTATTTTTAAGTAAATATCCAAAGGCACTTCAGTTCGAAAGTATGTCGATATAAAAATAATTGTAACAAAAGACTACTCAGAAGAGCCAAAAACAAAAAGCCTATGAATTCTATTCAACGAACGTGTGCCGCATTCTTAACAAACAGGCAAATAAATGAAGAATTCTGATCTTCTGACCTAGTTTACTAATATAAAATATAGAGATTAAAAACTAAATACCGAAAAAAAACATAAATACACACATAGAGTTTCGAATTTGAAAAACTGATATTCTTCTAGATCAAAATTTATTCGTTATTTGAACATTTTTTTAATAATGAATACAAAATTAATTGTTATTAGTTAATATAATGCACTTTCTAAAGACTACTCTTTGGTACAAAAGATTCTTAGGTATTAAATTAGATAATTGAAGAAAATCCAAATCTATAAGTATATTCTTAAAAGGGTTGCTTTTTCCTGCCTTTATAGAAGAGGAACTCTGATTTTCTTGGTGCTATGATTTAATAATGGATTATAGAGAAGTTCGTCTATTGAAAACAATAGATTATATTAAGAACATAGTTTCTTTCCTTAAAAGAGACATTGAAAATCAATATAATGAATTTTAATAAATTTCAATATTTAGAACAATAAGTTCTCTAGATATCGTGTTTCAAAGTTCTTAACATCTTACACTGATCAAATTCAAAAAGAACTTTTCGACAACTCAAAATATCGAATAAATTGGTGATTGACGGTGGTACTATTCTAATTTACTAAGTAATTATTTCCTGCAAATCAAAGATAGGTTACGCGGGCTATGCCGGAAAAAGCAGTTTTCTAGATCTCAAAAAGTGCTGAAGAATTGTTATAACAAAAATTTTAAGATACAAAAGTATATAGATTATAGTACATAATATTTTGAAGCATGCTTTCTATCACAAATAACTATTTTTTATTATAAAGTTCAAAATGTTAATAGTGATTCTTGTATATTTATATTGCATTCTCTTAAAGGAGTGATGTTACTCATGTATTTAATATGTATGAGGATTTAAAAGAGCCCGATGATTTTAACCACCGTAGGCTACGTATTTTAATTTCGCTATAATTTCAAGTATTAGCAGATGGCACAGTGAAATGACGACCCAGTATGACAGAAATGAAGGAGCACCAAATCCAAATCAATAAATAATTTTCTATTAAGTAGTAGAAACCTACCAATCGCACTAAAACTAAGAGTCTATTTTATTCATTTTTTATTGTGTATAAACATTGAGCTATTAAGTTGGGAGATATGTTAGTCCAAATTGATTAGTGAGTTGGATACATTTTTCATCACTTAATCACAAGAGCCGCAGCTCGAGCGTTTGTCATATGGGTCACAATAGTGGATAATGGCCGCCGTAGTAATTTTACCGAGGGTGGTGACAGTAGTCAAATCGGTACTGAGAACGCTAATATAGTTTGTAAAACTCTGAGTTTTGTCCAAATTGAAATTCAAGACAATATACCCTTAAATTATGTCATTAGTATATGTATAATTTCTTTAATACAAACTAACAATATATCAGCTTTAATATATATATAAGAAACTATGATAAAAATCATTTTCCGCATATAAAAATTAATAGATATGTTTAAAAATAATCTGTATTGGAAAACATAAAATCGTATTGGATTTTTTTTATCACATAATATATATGAGAAAAACACAAATTATTGTTGTTTCTGTTGTTACTAATAATATTTAAAAATTCTATAAATTTCTTTTTTTATAAATATTTTTCACAGACCTAAAATTAAATCTATGAATATCAAACAATAAAACAAAAATTGCTTGGTGCTCGAGTCATAAGTCAGAAATTTTTCTTATGGGCTATTAATTAATCACAAGCGTAAACCATTGGGCTTAAATTAATGACCCCTCGGATTAAATTTTTTTTTATTTTTCGGTACTAATTTTTTCCGATTGGCAGCTTCATCACACTTTTATTATATTTTACAATATATATGCCATGGAATTAAAATCCATATATCAAGACTAATGTAGGAGTCTAGAACGTTGATGTAGAATAATGCACAGAGTAGATGAGGTATGTAAGTATATATTTTTCTTTATGTATGTATACAATACATATGAGTATATGTATAAGATGCTTTCATTATAATAAACTTACTTTACGTAAATGATCCAAATCAGCTTTATTGGCCACAAGATATGCGATCGGTCCATTTTGTAGTGATTTGAGTTCTGCTAAACATTTCGCAGCATACTCGAAACTAGTGCGATCTGTAATATTATAGACTATCATGCAGGCATCAGACCATAATACCTGTAATAAAAATAAGAATATAAATTTTTGAAAAATTAATGTAAAAATTTTGTATTATTGTATTAGTATTATTAAATAAATTCATTTGGCATATTTCGTATTCGCATTTTTTTTAAATTTTTACGAATATTATTAACATAAAAATAAATTTATTATCTATTTTATGCGATTAAATATTTAAGTTTATTAACGATTTTAATATTGAAATAAAAATATTAGAATGTGAGCATAAAATATGTATATAATTGGTATAATTTTAATAGATTTTTAATAAATTATAAAAAAAAAAATTATAGCTACCAAAAATATTTAAAATATGCATTTAATGTACATATTTGCACATCTGTATTCATAAATTTAAACAATTAAATTTAAAGCTAATGTATATGATAATGTAAATAATAATGTAATTAACAATAATTATTTTAAATATGAATAATATAGGTATAATTAATTTCTATTCATTTAAAATGTAATTATAATGGAAAAATATAAATTTTTAAATACGTCATTAATTTAAATATATATAAAGTTGCAATAGTTTATAGCACTCTCTAGAAAGTTTTATTTACATATTTGCAGGTCATATAAAATTAAGGTGCCATGGCGACTGACGTCTTGTATTTTCAGGCTATATAATATATATAATTTCCAAAGGAAACAAAAACAGATGAACTAAATGAGTTTTTCCAAATGTATTTTAATTTAATTTATTTTAATTGTGGTTTTTGTATATATATATTTTTTTTATCCGACTATAGGTCAATTTTTGTTAAATAATTCAACGTTTGTTTATTATTTTTCAATATATTCGATATATTTTTCAAAATATTAAACAAACGTTGAATTATTTCACAAAAAGTGACCTATAGCCGGATAAAAAAAATATATAAATCTATTATAACAAAACAGGACGATTTATAAATTCAAAATTTTATTTTTTAATTATTTTTGTTTGTTTTAGTAATTATTGGTTCATCGTTCAATATTTATATAAATAAATATGTATATATAAATATGTATATATATATATACCTATATATCTATATATATATACATATTTATAGCTATATATAAATATATTTATATTTATTTAACTGATAATATTATATATATATTATATTATATATGTATATATGTATATATATCTATATATCTATATATCTATATATATATATATACGGACCTATTCTGTGCACTTTATAAAATTGTCAAACATTGACACTTGTCAAAATTGACTGCTGTAAAGGTTTTGGTATTCTGTGACATAAATAAAAAGCTCTTTTCCTTGTTAGTTGTCAATACCTCAAATACTGTTGACAACTATAAAAATATGCTCTTTTTAAGCATTTTTTATTATTTGCATGCATGACAAATATTCTTAACTAAAATATACGCTCCTTACAAGCATTTTTTTTTTGTTGTGATTTGAATAAATGAAAAATGCTTTCGACAATTTAAAATATATGCTCTTTACAACCATTTTTTACGAACAGTTACGAACAATTACGAACAGTTTTATATACAAAACACTTTACACCACAGTGTGGTGAGAAGCATTAGATACTTGACCTTTGAAATTTGTCAAGATGTGCCCAGAATACCAAAAAGCTTTCTGCTTTATAAAAATCAAAAATTTTATTAAAGAATTTGACAAATTTGTTAAGTGCACAGCATAGATCCGATAATATATATATCTAAATTAAACTGTACAAATTTTTTTCCAAAAGTAACATTTGTGTACCATTTACCACAATAGCGACATTTACCATATATGACCAAAAATAACATATTATCTTTGTGATAAAAATAATTATATACATTTAATAAATGTAAATTTTTTATAATTTTTTATAATTCTTCACTGTCAAAGGACTTAGCTTAGCAGATACGAATAATTAAATGTTTATGTCAATTCTACAATATACAAATCTCAGGTTGGTTAATTGCAATCGATCTAAAGTAAGTATATAGAAAGTATTCTCGAGCATTAGTGTTAAAAGTTAGAAGAGACAATAAGTAAATCGATATAACTGTAGTTTATGCGTTAGTTCAGAAAATAGTACGGACAGTGCAATTGTGTTTAAATTTAAAAAAATAAGTTAATTTATATAGCTGTGGTTTATGCGTTAGTTTAGAAAATAATAAGGACGCTTCAATTATTGTTTAAAATTGATTAAACAAGTTAATTTATATAGCTGTAGTTTATATGTTGGTTCTGACAGTAGTACGAACAGTGTATTTGGTGAATTATTTTGTGGTACTGAAGGTAATCGTTAGTAGAACATGCTTGTGATTGACGTATTAATTAAATTTTTATTTCAATAGTTTGACTGAATCTTCCTATTAGGTGTAAATACAATATTATATAAATGTGCCTTGGATCCTTTTCAAGTAATTAATAAAACCTTGAAGGACGTCAATGTGTTCATTTTCAAAGCGTTGTGACTTTTAGGATTGCACGTGTACATTTCATTGTTTAAAAAGGAGAGTGGCGAATATAGTCAAATATCTGTCATCAGTTGTTTTTCATAAAATTCTATTGGTTTTATAGTTTGTATGTTATTTTTGGACTGCGTCTTAAATTTGAACCGGTTCAAATAGCTGTTTCGATTAGATGTTGGGCGGTGTTCAAAATAGTTGTGTGATCAGCTGAAGAATTTACTTGATTAGTAATTAAAATATTTTTAGATTTGTGAATTTCCTCAGTAAATAATTTTTGTTATTAACTCTTTGATATAAAAATCTTGTTATAGAAAAATAATAATTTTAAATTAGATAAAATATTAAACTAATAATATTAAGATTGAATATTATATTATTTACTAACTTGTTCCATGGGAAAATCATCCTCACTTCCGGCATATACATCAACAATTTCGACTTCCGTATAGCCGCCTTCCAATTTGATTATTTTATTGTATAACAAATCTGTGTTGGAACGATATTCTCCAATAAATCTGCCTGTCAAATATCTTACGGTAAGCGCTGCAATTAAACAATCAAAATAAACAAATTAAATTTATCAAAAAAATATGTAAGACAAAACAATAACAATAAATAATTATTTAATTAATAAACAATTATAAATACACCGATATATGTCTGAAAAAACACATGTCTACCATGTGTTACATATGGACTTATATGAGAAGATTTCATCAAGCGACGATAATGAGTGACGAAAAAAATAAATTGGCTAAAAATATAACAATATTTGCTGATTAACAAAATATTGTAAATTTTTTTCTTTGCCATTGTGTTAAATAAATTTTTTTTTGTAAATTTATATTTAAAAAAATTTTTGTAGGTAAAAATTGCAACATCACTAAAACAATAAGTGATAAAATAAAAAATATAAAAAAAATTAAAATATATTTTTAAAATATTGCAAGAGATAAAATTTAAGGAAATTAGTACAAATTTTTTTACTTTATTTTTAATTAATAAATATGATTTGTTTATTCAGTTATTAATTTATTTAAAAAGTATTTTACTTGTAAGCTTTAATAATATATAAATTTGTTAAAAATAATTTATTAAAAAATAATAATTTTCCCATTATTACGTTCCTAGATTAGGTTCTATACATAAGAAAGAATATATAAATCATAATGTCTCTACAAACAAAGTAGTATTGAAATTTAACACATAAAAATAAAAAAAATATATAATTAATTAATTCAATTATTCGAATACAGACACAGTGAGTGAATTTGTTAATAAAACTTTCACAGCAGAATAAACAAAACTCCAGAAAAATATGCGAACATAAAAGTCAAGTACGGTTTTGTGTCATTTGGTTAAGGAGCGCTGACTCTGTGCTTCAAATTTTGCAGAGTACGAGTTCGATTCTTGGTACTTGCAGTCTCAAAAAATTATTTACGAAAAATTAAATACAAGAATTATTTTCAAGACCACTGATGATGGGTATTTGGCAATACTCGAAACAGTCAAAAATTCAATAATTTAAAATAATATAAAAAAGAATTTTTGTAGATCTTATCAACCACTTGAATTCTATAATATATTCTAAAATATTATATAGGAATTATATATATATATATATGCTAGCGATCTAAATATCTGCATTACCGTACATAACAATATATAATATACAATATATAATAATAGTGTAATATGGTAATACTTTGAATCAGCTTGTTTGTTTCATATATGGTATAGTGATAACTTTTCTAGCTCATATATTTCTTGAATGGATAAAGTTTTTTATTGTTATTGTTTCTTGTGTTGTTGTTATTTGGAAACAGTTAACACTGGGCATCCTGCCTAAATGTGCTGGTTAAAAACTAAAATCTAAAGTCCCCTTTTATGATTTTATTTTTTGATTTTTTTTTTATTTAATTTTTTATTGTAATAATTTAATAACTAAAAATAAGTTAATTATTTAATAATCGTTTCATATTTATTTAAATTATAGTTTATGAATTAAATATTGAAACTTTTATCATCACAATGTGAAAAATCGAGTTTAAAGAAAATTACCTATTTAAGTTCTTAATTCGGGCAATGTTTTATAAATAAAAATAATTATTTAGACTAGGATTTGGACATTGAAATGGATATTTATAACGTGAGAAAAAGACGAAAAAAAAATTTCATAAAATAAAAAAGAAAAACTAACAAAAAAAAGAAAACGATTCATATATTTTATATTTCAAATAGCATAAAATATATGACGGCACAACCTGCAATAATGAGAAGACAGGTAACATTTAGGGTATATTTGTTTTCATTATGTGTTTTTACTATCTAGATAATACAATAGATTCAAATCTCTGACGATAGCAGAAAATAAACTGAAATTTTTAAAATAAAAGAAGTAAAAAATAAAATTAAAAAAAGATTTAAAAAAAATAAAATAAATAATTTATTAAATTAAATAATTAAAAGTAATATGTTTCATGATGACAACGCTAAGTCAGACACAATAGATTATCATTTGTGACAATCTCTACAATATTCTCTAGTTGATATAACATTGACCTCAATTGAAGTTTGTGAGGTCTTTAATTTGATTTATTTTCTAAAAGAATAATAGTTTTAGTCCAAAAAAAAACAAATGGCAAAAGGTGGTCGAAAACATTATTTTTTATATTTGGAATAATAAAGGTGTTTTTAAATAAAAGATCTTTTAAATTTAAAAAATAAATTCTATATATTAGTTTTATTAAAAAAAAGAAACAAATCAATATTAAAAATTTTTTTACTTTGTAAAAAAAGATACAATTTCATATACATTATAAATACTGAATATATGAAATACAATAAAATAGGGAATTGTACGAAGTCTTATAGCTAAGAGTATTAGTAATGGTTTATAGATAAGGCTAAGGGCTTTATGCGCTGCGACCAGCTTGATCTATTGTGCACTACCAAAGAGTATTACAATTTGATCAATATAAAAAAAATTTATATTTAGGTTTATAAAATTATTTCTATAAATGTGTTGAGCCTTTTTCCAATTAATGCATCTGGACAATTTTACTCTTTGATAGCTGGAGGGTTTCTGCAGAGTACCACCCATCTCACTGACTAAATAAATGATTTTTTTAATTTACTTAAACTACTTTTAAAAATTAGTCACTATTTCTTATTTTATAAAAAAATATTATTATTTTTTGCATTTCATGTGAAATTTTAGTATATAGATAATTACTTTGTTTAGATTGAGTTAATAATATTCGATCTATAAAAATTATGCGGGTAAGAAAATGGAATTGCAATTATGATTATAACTACATTTTATGCAGATAGTGCTTTATGTTAAGCACAAGCCTTCAGTCAAGACAATATTAAAATTAATAGACCAGAGTCAGAATAAATAGTAATTTTGGCTTCATAATAAGTAGTTCTCAGAATGGTTATATGTATATAAATCTTTGTAAATATATAATGTTAGGATTAAAAACTAAAAATATCTATTAAGTTAAAGAGCAAGACATATTATGAGATCAATGAGTACTGCCAAGAACGGCAGATACATTGTAATGTATATTATTCAGTCTGAATTTTCTTCAGTACTAAAATATACAGATAAACGACAGATTTCAACGACAGATAAACAACGTTGAATTTAAGAGATTATTTATAGCGTTGTAAATTATTGCCAGTTGTTTAAAAATAGTTTCACTTTTTAAAATAAAATTACTTAAATAAAATACAAACTACGTATTTGGGCCAAAAATACGTAGTTGGTGTTAGCTATTGTTTATTGCAATCTGCAGATGCTTTGATAGCCATTTTTCATGGACCTAATTTCTCTAAAATTGTGATTGTTATAACTGTATTATAAATATACTTAAACATATACTTATTGTATATAATATATTAAAATAAGTCTATTTAATAATGTATTCTAAATTATTTTTGTCTTATTTGGTATGTGTAATATTTGTATATGTACACCATATACAATTGGTGTGTTTCATAATTCCTTATACTACTACACATAAATAATTCTAGACACTAAATAATCAAAAAATAAATAAATATTATTAAAACAATTAAGTATTCATTGTATGTTCATGTTCATGTTGAGTATTTTTTGAGTTAGTGCATCTGGGCAGTTTTACTCTTTGATAGCTGGGGCGTTTCTGCAGAGTACCACTCTTCTCACTAAATAATTTAAGTATTCTTTATAAGCTTCGTGATTATTCGATGACTGATCTAAAATCTGCGTACCGCCCCGTATGACTAAAGATTATTCTGGGATTAGATATTGCTAAGTATGGCAGCCTGTCGGTTTTCGCGAATAACTTCTATTCTAAGGTTTCTTAGCATATCATTTGTGCTAATGTATCAAGGTATTTTTAAAAGTCTTCGGAGAGCCTGACTTTGAACAAGTGATGGTCTGAATATCTGGCTGTAGATATTCAGCTGTTCTTCACACTTATTGTGTTTGAAAAGTAGTTATAACCAGTGCATGTATCAGATCAATTAAGTATTGATTACATTTAATATTATATTTTATTAGCGATCATAAGCGATCAGTTGTTGACAAACCCTTTTTCTAACTGCTGTATAATGTATCTATATATATATATATATATATATATGTATATATAATATATTTTTTTTTTAATTATTTTAACATTCTATATTTTTGTTTAATTTTATTTATTTCATACCTTTTCTCTTAAAATTGTCTTACTTTTTCAATATCATGAAGAGTTTCCGAATTTTCTTACTCATTGCAAATTTTCGTCATTCATTCATGATTTTTAAAATAAATTAAGAAAAATACAGAAAATATATTAATAAAAATAAACTCAACAATCATATAATATTTGCTTAAATTTTTATTTAATGGATCTTACATCAATAGAAGTTCGTAAGTATAATTAGAACAAAAATACATTGACAAAGAACTTTTTGAAAAATTCTGGGAATACTTTGTTTTCAAAATAGACGAATAGCGCACTCTAATTTTAAAAATAGTTTATTTAAATATATACACTAAATTTATTAAAAATATCTTAAATGATCTGAGTTAAATAATTTGACACATCTAATTAGATACAATAAATATATAAAAAAAAATTATTTATTAGTTTTGATTCATGATGTTTGGACTTTACTTTAAAGAGTTGCTCCAAAATAGTTTTGTCAATATAATAATACATCAATAGAATTATTCAATTTAACTACACATTTTTACAACGCTACATAATATTCTTTTATTTAAAATTAATATATCAATAAAATTACATGTTCGACTTATTTCGAATTAATTTATTATTTTCGTTATGCTCGTCCCGCCTTTGTGGACCATTCCTGGTCATTAGAGCTTAGAGTAATAATATTGCTAAGGTTGACGTAAACCTTTTATATGATTAAACAAGTTAGGTGCTTAGGATTCTGTATGATATATACAGAAAACTAGACATACACATGTTGAAAAGGACGAAAGATAGATGGTTTAACTGAACTACCTGTAAAGTCATCAGAATCTTCGAAAGCATAAT